AGCATTTTATTTATCAACCAATCAGAGCAACACATATTCACAGCATACAGAATGACATCCCACAGCAATTCTTACTCCAGAATTGGTGCTGAGCTTATTAAGCATTTCCTAGAAAACCATCTCTATAGGATAATTAGACATGACTAAAAGAAGCCATCTCACATGGTTCTTGATTATTTCTGGGTCACAGTCCTTTGCAAGAATGCCTCCCATAAAATTGCACAAATGGAAATATATACATTATTTTTTGTAGCATTTTAAGAGACTGGATAAGAAGAAAATTACAATCTTCCATACTCCTTCTTATTCTATATTTCTTCCCCCTTTCTCAGAATATGAGGGTATTGAAAACCAGAGAAAATGGAAACAGAAAATTTTGTTTTGAGACACTAAATACAAAATTCTAACATAGTATTATGCTATGTTAAAGAGAACTCGAACAAGGAGTCATTAAAAATATAGTCATAATAGTCTTTAAATCCCACAGTTTTGATCTTCAAACCACCAGATATGATGTGACACTGAGAGATGAGGCTTTGGGAACTCCTTCCCAAGAGAACTAAAGTAGCTGAAAATCAAATTCAATGGAAAATCCCAGAAAGTCTACTGCCACTTAGCCTGGGGAAGTTTTATTGAAAAATACATTTGATTTTTTACATAGGCTAAATAAAATATCTTAAATGACATTTATGCAACATGTATTTATATCTCCATTTATGGGAAGATTTAAGGCAATGTATATGTTTGGAGAAAATAAAACAAAATACTATAGGTGACAGAGAAGAAAGACAGAGAAGGAAGAATGCCTCCTCCTTTTGAGACTGGGGTCTTGCTGCACAACTGAGACTGGCCTCCAACCATGCTTCCACCTCAGGCTTCAATGTGCTAGGATTTTAGATATGTGCCACAATGCCCAGTTTCCAAACTGACTTTAAACATGAACTCATGGAGTAATGAGACCTTTATATCCTTAAGGTAGTTTTTAGAAAGTATGCAGCACTTAAGAATTTTATACTTTTAGTATCAAAACAAATTGGGGCTGGAGAGACAGCTCAGCAGTTAGGAGAGCTTGATGCTTTTCCAAAGGACCTAAGTTTGGTTTCTATGCCCCACATCAGGCAGCTCACAACCTTCTGCAACCTTTAGCTCCCCAGGCACCCTCCAACACATGACATATATTCACACATGAAAATAATAACATAAATCTCTAAGATTCTTACTGTGCTGGGAATGGAACCTCAGGGCTTTAAGCATGCTGGGCAAGTGCTGCATCACTGAGCCTCAACCCTAAGCCTTACAATGTTTAAAATATTTTAATTTTTCTTTTTTTCACACATATTTTCTTACTTGCTCTTCAGTTCATTTTGTTTTCATGTATACACATGTATATGTGTGTGTAGATGTAATTCTGAATGGTCTTATAAGAAACACAGAGCCTGGTGATGTGAGTAGCAGTCCAGTCATCCTTGTTCTACATCTAGTATCCTGCTATGAGTGAGTACATACCATGTTTGTCTTTCTGAGTCTGGGTTACCTCACTCAGGATGATTTTTTCTAGATCCATCCATTTGTCTGCAAACCTCATGATGTCATTGTTTTTCTCTGCTGAGTACAGGGCCCCAAGAAAGACACGGGATCGCCCAATGACAGAGAAATGGAATGAGATCTACATGAACAGCCTGGACATGAATGGGGGTAGTGAAGGGTGAGGGTCGAGGGAAAGAGAGCTGGGGGGAGCGGGAGATCCCAGCTGGATCAACAACAGAGAGGGAAAACAAGGAATAGGAGACCATGGTAAATGAAGACCACATGAGAATAGGAAGAAGCAAAGTGCTAGAGAGGCCCACAGAAATCCATAAAGATACCCCCACAACAAACTGCTGGCAATGGTCCAGAGACAGCCCGAACTGACCTACTCTGGTGATGGGATGGCCAAATACCCTAATTGTCATGCAAGAAACCTCATCCAACTACTGAGGGATCTGGATGCAGAGATCCATGACTAGGCCCTGGGTGGATCTCTGGGAGTCCAATTAGCAAGAATGAGGAGGGTTTATATGAGCGAGAATTCTTGAGACCAAGGTTGGATAAAGCACAGGGACAAATAGCCAAACGAACGGAAACACATGAACTATGAACCAATGGCTGAGGGGTTACCAACTGGATCAGGCCCTCTGAGTGGGTGACACAGTTGATTGGCCTGATCTGTTTGGGAGGCATCCAGGCAGTGGGACCGGGTCCTGTGCTCATTGCATGAGTGGGCTGTTTGAAACCTGGGGCCTATGCAGGATCGCTTGGCTTGGCCTGGGAGGAGGGGACTGGACCTACCTGGACTGAGTCTACCAGGTTGATCTCAGTCTGCGGGGAAGGCTTTGCCCTGGAGGAGATGGGAAGGTGGGGGAGAACAAGGGAATCCGTGGCTGATATGTAGAACTGAATTGTATTGCAAAATAAAAATAAAAATAAAAAATAAATAAATAAATAAATAAATAAACGAAACGCAGAGTTAAAAGCCCAGAGATCGAGCAGCAGTCAACAGCTAAGACCGCCTTCTTATACCCCTCGCTGTTGCTGTCGTCCTTCCCCTCAGAAAGAGACCTACTTCCTGTGTGTCTGTATTTTTATTGACTTTCTGTTCTGCCTTCTCATTGGTTGTAAACCCAACCACATGACTTCCTCGTCACTGCCTGTCTATACAGACCTCCAGGTCTATATGGTTGGTATTGAGATTAAAGGCATGTGTCTCCAAGCTGGCTATGTCCTTGAACACAAAGACTCTGCCTGCCATGTGATCGGATTAAGGGCGTGTGCTACCACTGCCTGACTTCTGCTAAATGGCTTGCTCTTAGCTCTGACCCCCAGGCAACTTTATTTATTAACATACAAATAAAATATCACCATATGTGTGTTCAGGTGTATGTGCATCTAACTACGAGTCAAGAGCCAGAGAGCAACACTGGGTGTCCTCCTCAATTTTTCTTTTCCTTGTTTTTTGAAGCAGGGTCTCTTAGTGAACCTGCAGCTTGCTAATTCAGCTGGATTTCCCACTCAGCAAGATCAGCCTGTGTCCACCTTCCGGTGCTGAGGATCCGAACTCAAGTCCTCATGCATGTACAGAAGTCATCTCTCCAGCCCATACATTGATTTTTCAAAACACCTATCATGCACGTTTTCCAGAGACGTGAACTGGAGCGAGGCTCAGGAGAAGACTTGACAACCAAGTGCTTGTACTGGTGAGATGGCCCAGCAGATGAAGACACCTGGCCCTGGGCCTAGCAGTCTGAGTTGGATCCTGGGACCCACATGTTTTGGTAGAAACCAATTCCAGGGAGCTGTATGCCAACCGACCAGGGTGCCATAGTGTACACATGCCCACAGTCACAGATGTACACAACAATCTAGCAAAAAATTAGAAACAAAGATCAAGTCCCTGCTCTTCTCATTATATCATACAGTTGTGCAGCAGCTGGCCTCTGTAATCTCTGTGCACTAATAAAGAACAGTTCTGTACATGAACACTGCACCTGGGATACTGTGGCCCTGGAAACTTCACAGGGGAAGGATTGCTGCCTTAACTGGTACCTTTATATTTGGAGATCGGATAGACATACAACTAAGCAAGTTCACATGTAAAATATCCTAACTGACAAACTTCAACCTTGTACAGACCCATACACTGAGAAGCGAATACAATTTGTCACAATCATCCATCTACTCAGCACAGAGCCAAGACCAGAAGTCAGGTTGCCGAAACTTTTTATACCACATTGTCTCTAGAGCTATGTATATATTTCTGTGTTTCTTTTTCTTCTACACACCTAATTCTCTCCCTTCATAATTTCCCTTGTGTCTCCTGTATAAAGCTCTATATGTATATACCTTGGCACAAAAGACCCTGCGTGGCCTGGCACAGACAACTTCTCTGGCGAGCTATCTCCTCTAGGGGAATATTCCTGAGTCCAAAGGAGGTTAGGCTTCTATAAACATTCTATTGGATTTTCAATTCCAGTAATTTTTCATGTCAAATTCTTGTCCTATCCCTGAAACCTGGGCAAACCACCTCTATTACAGCAAAACCTAGTGAGTTCCCACTTTGCAGCCATGCAACCAACTACAGCCATCCTAGCACGATGGCATCAACAGTAATCACAGAACGACAGATTCCCAAAGGGAGAGAATATCAGTTCGCAGGAAGCAGGTCACTAAATCCCACTCATCCTTCCTCCAGCAACGTTTCTTTCCATTGCCAACAGAACAGGGTTTGAACCATTAAATCAGCTTCCTTATACAACTTTAAATTCCCTGAACAGATCTATAAACGTTGAATATTCTGCTTATTCCTTACGTTCCTGTGTGTGTGTGTGTATGTGTGTGTGTGTGTGTGTGTGTGTGTGTGTGTGTGTACATGTGTGGTCGTTTTTCTCCTTCCACTGTGGTTTCCAGGGAATGAACTCAGGCTTGCATGGCAAGTGCTTTATCTATTCAGGTATTTTGGGGGTATACTTTTTTGAGACAGGGTCTCATGCTAGAACCCCCAGTGTACTGAAGAATGATTTAGAACTCCTGATCCTCCTGCCTCTATCTCCCAAGTGCTAAGATTGTAAATGTATGGCTGGCTTGTGGTAACCTTTGTCCCTTTGATATACTTTTACTCATATCTGGTTCAGACATAATCTCTCTAGAAAACTATTCAGATACTTATACTAACTCTGTCCTCTACTTTCTTCAAAGTCTGGGCTTTTTAAGAACTGAGATTGCCTCTAGTTGCTACTATTGGCAATATATACAGAATACACTCAAAGGCAAAACAAAAACAAACACAAACACAAAAAAACCCTTCAAATTGCACACACACACACACACCCCAATGAAAATTAAGACTTCCCCAATCCCATCATGTAACTTAATATCAGGTGTTTCCTTTCACATTGCTTCTGCACATATTTCAGTGTTTTATATACAAAACATACACACAGAACATGATTAAGCCATATACGTACCCATTTCATAGCGCTTAGAATCATGCTCTGATATATGCAAATGTTATCTACTTGAATATTTATGCAGATTTGCTTTTGTTTTTACAGAGTTTTAGGAGCAGCCTAACAGCACAGTACTCCATTACAGGGACATACCAGGCTTACTTCCGCCCAATTGAGTTTCCCCAAACACCAGCGCCGCCGAGTACGCGGGGCTCCCACATTCCCAAACGCCTTTTCAGTCGTCGGGCGGTCGGGCGCGGCCCCGGCACCGAACGCCCTCCCCACCCCTGCCACGCGGTGGCCGCGGCGGAACCCAGCGGGCTCCGGTCTCCCGGCGCCTCCCCGGCACCCGGCCTGGTGGGCGGGGCTCCGCGGTGGGCGGGACTCGGACGGGCGGGCGCGGCCACGGCTCCTCCCCGCTCCTCCGGCGGCGCCGGCGGCGGCGGCAGCACTTCCGGGTCGGCGCGGAGGCGGGGCGGAGGCGCCGCGGCTGTTATTGTTCCGAAGGGCTGGGCCGCTGGGATCCGCGCTCGGCGCTGTCAGTTCGCCCCGCTGCCCCTCGGCCCTTTCTGCTGGCTCTGACGGCGGCCGACGGCGGGCGGGGCCCGGGTTCGCGGCGCGAGAGGCGCCGGTGAGGGCGCGGAGGAGGCGCACAGCGGGAGGAGGAGCCGTGAGCCTGGCACGGAGCGGGCCGCGGCCATGGCGTACGCCTATCTCTTCAAGTACATCATCATCGGCGACACAGGTGAGGCCGGCGGCGGGCCGTGGCGGACCGGGGCGGCCAGGCGGGGCAAACGGCGGCGGCGGCGGCGGCGGCGGTGGCTGGCGCGGGTCGGGCGGCGCGGCGCGGGCGCCTCCCTTCCTCCCATCCTCCCTCGGTTCCCTGGCCGCCGCTCCATTTCCGCAGTGCTGGCGCTGGTGACGTGGGCGCTGCGAGCGGCCGCGGCCTGGCCGGGCCTTCCCCGCTCCGCCCGGGCCCGCTGCAGCCGGGCCCGTGGCAGCCGTTTGCGACTCCCGGAGAGTGTGACAGCAGGGCGGCGGTCCCCGGGGCCCCCGCCTTGACTGTCTGTGCGGCCCGAGGAGGGAGAGGGAAGCTGAGCGAATCGGAGCGTGACGGGCCCCGGTCTGGATTTTTGTCCCTGATCCCACCTCCCCGACCTGCACGCTTCCGCCTAGGCCTGGGCAAGGCGCACCCTGAAGTGGGGCAGCCTGGTGAGAGAAAATTATTTAAAAAACAAACAAAAAAAGAATTTAAGCATTCTCAACTTTCAAGTCCGAGTAAGTCAGATCACATCACATGACTTGATGGCAGGGCTGTCCCTTTCAGGGTCATTAAAGCACTATAGAGCCCTGGCGACTTTTGCCACGTGTATGCTGGGGTTATTTGATTATTTGATAGTAATGCAAGGCGGGTCAATGCTCAGGGTGTGAGCATACTCAGGTATGCTGATTGACGACTGATTTTTTTTCCAGTTGTGTCAAGTCACAACTGCTGATTTTCAGGTGACCTCGTGTACATTTGAAGCAAAAAAAAAAAAAAAAAAATCAGTTCCCAATTAAAAATATGATCCTAATAAGTTTCTCAAGCAAATAAACAAGCTTTTTATGAAATGCTTTGAATACCCGCGATTTGGGCCTTACTTCGAGTCTAATAATAAACCTAAAGCTTGTTCAGGTGTTAAAACTATTAATACACCAGAGTCTGATTTCAGTGGTGACAGTTGCACAACCCTTTGCACAACTTTGGAAATGTAGAAGCAGCTTGAGGTTGCCCTATGATGTCGTAGTAGAGCTCTATAAGTAACTGGAAGTATGTTGATTGCTGCCTAAAATAAAAACTTTCTGCTGTATAGTTTTTCAGAAAGGTTTTTTTTTTTTTTTTTGGTGTGTGTGTGTGTGTGTGTGTGTGTGTGTGTGTGTGTGTGTAAGGACACTGGATCGTTTTCTGTGCAAGGTACTGGGTAAAGCCATAATTTGTAAACTGGAAAGGAGGGATCTAAAACCACTGACTTATAAAAAAAGAAAATTGGAGATGTCAGATGAACTACCATATGCCCGGGTTTGTGAAACAGAAATGACTGACCACTTGGTCGTCTCAGCAGTAGCAAAAAATTAGGTTTAGAATTTGCGTGGTATCTTGTTTTTATTGGGAATCTACTGTGGATTAATAAAAGTAATGTGCAGGGAATAATGGGGACTACAAATAAGAGCAAGCTGGTGCTCCGTTCTCATGAAATTTGCCCCCATCCCCAAACAGTTCCTGTGCATTTGGAGGGAAGGCACTCTTTTCTTGGCATTCTGTTCTGACCTAGTTCAGCGCACTTGACTGCTTGACACTGAGCTGTAGAGTAGCACTTTGTCCACACTCCAGTTCAACTAATATAGTTTAACATCAGTGTAGTTTTCCTGAAATGTCTGTGTCAAGAGGCAAACTCCTGCTCATTCATGTCTTAACCTTTTTAGCTTGACCCTCAGTGGACTATAAAGTACCTGTCTGCTCTTCTAGTATTCTTTCCCACTACATCACCTTCTCTTGTCTGATGCCCAGTGGCGAGTTTTTGAAGCTTTCGTTGGTTCCTCCTCCTCCATCTGTTTGGCCTGCCTTCTGCCACAGTCTTTCCCTATGAAATTTTGTTAGTCTTTTAATAAAAGCCTTGCCCAGGTCTTCCAAATGCCTGCATAATCAACATATCTTGATCTCTTTTATATTCCAGTGTTCTCCTGGTACCTTGGTTAGAAGTGACTACTTATTGTCTGGATTGTATTTCTCAATTTGTATCATTTTTTCTGAAGTTAATTCCAGACTGATTTTATAGGTATTTGTGTAGGCATCTGCATTTGCTTATGTACTTCTTGAGGTTAGAAAAGGTGTTCTATCTGTGCTTTAGGACAGACCTAGTCAAAGGGTAGGTCTCGTGTATTTGATTAAATTAACAAGGAGCCAAACAGACCACTCTCTTTATGTTACTATACGATAATAATTTCAGTTTTTAACCCTCAATTCTGCTACCTTTTTGCTTATTGGTTTTATTCAAAAATATTCTATCATTTTATTTCATCGAGAGTATACTAACAGGTGTAATGTGATTTCTCCCTTTAAAAAACATGTAATTAACTCGATCAGTTTAGATCCATGTTATTTTTTAAGTCATAGTGTGAAAAACGTGTGTTGGAATGAAGGAAAATACTGATTTTCTTGTCTAATGCTCTTGTTATAAAATAATCATTCTTGGGCTTTTCTTCTCTGAGGTGTATGTGTTTTAAATTAAGATTAAGGCCATTGAGATGACTCGGTGAGCAAAGGCAGCTGTCACTGTCACTGACGACCTGAGTTTGATACCTGGGACCCACGTGGTGGAGAGAGAGAAGACTTACTCTCACGAGTTGTCTTCTGACCTCTATTCATGTGCATGCACAGATATATCAATGAAAATGAAATGTAAACACACTTTGATTTCCCAAAAGAAAGGAACCCACTGTGCATAGTTTCACTTTCCAGAGATTCTTTCATAGATGACGTTTTCTTTTTTTAACATTTGCATGAGCAAAGTGTTGTTTTCCTATTGTAATGCCAGATGCAGTTGAAATGTAGTTTCTGTTTTCATTGGTAATATCTTTCTGAGAAATCATTTAGAAAATGTGTCTGTATATATGAAGTGGAAAGTGGTTTTGCTTTGAGGAAGCCTGATCTAATAATATAAGTAGATGATTATCAAAAGAAAAAGCATGTTTCAGAAATCTGGCATCTCTGAGTTTTTAACCTTATCACCAGTTCCTCCTGCTCCCTCATCCGATGCACAAATGCACAAGCCAGTTGTGTTTACTCCTAGCTAAAAATCCCTTTTTTCTCTTTGCCTAGATGATGTTAATACTTTGTTTTCTAACTGACTCTTCTTTGTTTTAAGATAGTGAGAGACCACACACTTCTCCTATTGGATTATAGTGGTCTCTTCCTCCCTTCCCCTTTTCTGTCCCTCTACTCTTCTTCCCCACTGAAGCTTTCAGTTTAAATGATCTTTTTTACTGGGAAGGCTTTTCTTGTCACTAGTTTTTAAATAAGTTTGTATGCCCTGAGGGAGGTACTGCAGGGCCTTATTTAGGAGGTGACACTTGAACTGAGATATAGTAATGAGCACAGTCAGATTCATGATATAGGCAACAGGGAATGTCAGCAGTGCAAAAGAAGTACATACTTGAAGCATTAGGTAACCTGGGTTAGAGATCTGAGAGCCAATCACAAATGGAATCCTCTTTGTCCAAGATTTCATTATTTGAACTGTTGAAATTATGAAGTCTTTTAAATTTCTTTAACTTTTATGGGTATATGTGAGTGCATGTGTGTGTGCATATGTGCAAGCGTGCGTGCGTGCATGCATGCGTGCGTGCGTTCCTGTTGCCTTTAGAGGCCAGAAGAGGTTGTCAGATCCCCTGGAACTGGAGTTGTGAGCTACTGTGTATGGGTGTTTCAAACTGAACCCATGATCTCTGAAGGAACAGCAAATGCCCATAACCACTGAGCTATCTCTCCAGGCCCCAAATTAAGGAATCTTATGGGGAAGGAAAAAAAAAGTATCATAACATGAATATATTTATTAATAAGCTCCCACTCTAATAAATTCCTCTCCAGAGTTCCTTATTTATCCCCACACTCCTTTGACATCAGGGTTTGGTGACTATACCATAGGTCAGATAACTGCAAAGTGGAATTACAGATCCTGCACCCCAAAATTCAAAGTCTTATTTATTTGGTGAATATTATTTTGGAGCATTAGTTCACATGTAAAACCATTGACACCTGGGAATCTGACAGTTGCCTTCTGGGATCAAGTGGGCGGTGACCTTTCTTTAGTGAGCAGGACAAAAGGCTAAGAAGGTCTTCCTTCCTTCCTTTCTTCAGCGAGGAAGAGCCACCTGAACAGTACAGTCAATGACCACAGAGGAGTGGTCACCAGCATTAGATTCAGTAGAAATCAGACTCTTGATGAAATGGTGTGATGTTCTGATGCTTTGCACACTGCTGGATTAGGAGGTGAATGCGATGCACAGGGCCAGTTACAGAAATGCAAACTGTACATGCATTTCTGCTCTTTGAAGATACATTTTAAAATATATTGTGCACATATGTAGAAAAGGTCCTTAACTCTGTGTGTTTAGCAGTTATTTCTGGAGTGGAGAGAATTCAGCTTGTATTAAGAAAGTTGGTGTTGGTGAAATGAGGTTTTCTGTACTCTTTCTGTTTTTGTGTTGCTTTTGAGGCAGGGTCTTGGCTGTCCTGGTACTGTGTGTCCTGTTTTGGCCACAAGCTCATGGGAGTCCTCCTGCTTCAGTCTCCTGAGTGCTGGAATTATAGGCATGTATCACCATGTCCA